GGGGGGCATGGAGGAGATACAAATCTGGGAACTGCTCTGGGAATGGGCACCAAATCCTTACTGGCTATCTCTCCTCTCCTCTCCAGTAACACAGAGGCCTGGAGCCTCCGCCAGCAGCTGAACTCTGAAGACACTCAGGCAACCTATGTCCTGGGTACCCCAACCATATTGCCCTCATTCCCTGAGAACATCCTTTCCCAGGGACAGTGCTCCAGCCGTAACCCACTCTTTACCCCAGCCCTGGGGGCTCCCAGAAGCACCAGTTTCCCCCCTGCTCCTGAAATGGGTGCTGTCTCAACACCAGAAGAGCTTCCCCGACCTCCCAAAGAGCTGGGCTTCAGTTACCTGACGTTCCCACCTCGCCCCGAGCCTTCTCTTCCAGCTGACCTGAGCAAGGATCTTGTGTGCACCCCACCCTATACGCCCCACCAGCCAGGAGGCTGTGCCTTCCTCTTCAGCCTCCACGAGCCCTTCCAAGCCCATTTGTCCACTCCATCCAGCTCTCTCCAAGAACAGCTGACTCCAAGCGCCGTGACCTTCTCCGATCAACTGACGCCCAGTAGTGCCACCTTCTCAGATCCACTGACTAGCCCACTACAAGGCCAGCTGGCCAAAACCTCAGCCAGAAGCTACGAAGATCAGTTGACTCCCTGCACCACCAACTTTCCAGACCAGCTGCTTCCCAGCACTGCTCCCTTCCCCGAGCCTCTGGGCAGCCCTGCCCATGAGCAGCTGACTCCTCCCAGCACAGCATTCCCGGCACATCTGAACAGCCCCAGCCAAACTTTCCCAGAACAACTGAGTCCCAATCCCAGCAAGACTTACTTCGCCCAGGAGGGATGCAGTTTTCTCTATGAGAAGTTGCCTCCAAGCCCCAGCAGCCCTGGTAATGGGGACTGCACACTCCTGGCCCTCGCCCAGCTCCGGGGCTCCCTCTCTGTGGACGTCCCCCTGGTGCCCGAAGGCCTGCTTACACCCGAGGCCTCTCCGGTCAAGCAGAGTTTCTTCCACTACTCCGAGAAGCAGCAGAATGAGATAGACCGTCTCATCCAGCAGATCAGCCAATTGGCTCAGGGCATGGACAGGCCCTTTTCAGCTGATGCTTGCGCAGGCGGGCTGGAGCCACTTGGGGGGCTGGAGCCCCTGGACTCCAACCTGTCCCTGTCAGGGTCTGGCCCTCCTGTGCTCAGCCTGGATCTGAAACCCTGGAAATGCCAGGAGCTGGACTTCCTGGTTGACCCTGGGAACATATTCCTGGAAGAGGTGCCCGTGGAAGACATCTTCATGGATCTCTCTACCCCAGACCCCAATGGGGAATGGAGTTCAGAGGATACTGAGGCAGCGGTCCCAGGAGGGGCCCTGTCGCCTTGCAACAACCTGTCCCCAGAAGACCACAGCTTCCTGGAGGACCTGGCCACATATGAAACCGCCTTTGAGACAGGTGTCTCAGCATTCCCCTACGATGGGTTTCCTGATGAGTTGCATCAACTCCAGAGCCAAGTTCAAGACAGCTTCCATGAAGGTGAGTCCAGCCCAAAAGTTCAAGAACTCAAGTCCCTGTCCTGCCAGGGAGATACTGGGTGGAATTAGTAAATTCCCCTCTCTGTACCTCAATTTTATTAATGGGATAATATTGTCTGCTGCTTAGGGAAGCTGTAAGAATAAGAACTAATGAAAAATAATCTGGAAATTCCTGACAAGTAGGCCTGAAGGGCAGGGGTTAGGGGTGTGGGATAAATGCAAGAGGATCCTTCACTAATGGTTTCTCCTCCTTAACTCTGTGAAGGACCTAGATCAGCCATCATCACCCTATTTTACAGATGAAGACAATCAAGGTCCCAGGGTTAAAGAAACTTGCCTAAGGCCACACACAAACTGATGGAGGAGGCATCAGAGCCCCATCTCAGTATTCTTACCCCCCTAAAGGGGATACAGACTAAGCGTTTATAGGCATTTGGAAAAGTAAGAGAGGCTGCCTGCTATGGCTCCATTCATTCCAAAACTATAGCCATGGTTTCACTTCGTCTGTCCAAATTGCTCCATTTTCTGCTGAACTGCTGGTGATCATTCAGTCATTGGGCCAACATATTTGAAGCCCATACTATGTGCCACATCCTCAGCCTATCTTTCCTAATAGGCCTACTGATTGTCCTCTCTCTCTCTCTCTCTCTCTCTCTGCAGATGGAAGTGGAGGGGAACCAACGTTTTGAATAAGTCTGTGACTTAACGTCGTCAAGTATGGCATATTGTCATCAAGACGTGGAGCTGCTCTCCACCCCCCCCGGGACTGTTGGGGGGATTCTAGGGGCTGGAGGGGGATATATCTGATTCCCCAGGCCCTGCAGGATTGGGTGGGGGGAGGAGGGAGGGCTAGGGAGGGGAGCTTCTTTTTAATATTTAGAGACTTCCAGCAATCCCAGTTTCCATTTCAATCTGTATTCACTCGTAGTGAGTTTCCTTGAATGGGATTTCAAGTGGAGAATGGGGGAGTCTCACTTATCCCCTGCGCTGCCCCATGGGCTTGGGCCAGTTCTCCACGCCTGGGGGCCAAGCCACCCCTGGGCCTTGGTGGGGGAAAGGCAGCACCCATTCGGGCCAGCCTGTGCCCCGAGGGGCTCTTGACACCCACGTAGAATTCTCTACACACCAGTAACGGGATTTCAATTCCGATGGACTCTGCCGCCCTGGCGGCCCTTCTTGTGACTTTTGCGCCCCGCACCTGGGGTGGGGGGCGTGAAGAGACGCTACGTTTCTTTCCGATGGAGGAAGGCAGACCTGCCGCTGTCACACGTGTGCTTGCACGAGTGCGTGTACCTGGTGCAGGACTCACCCGGCTGCCAGACTGCCTGGGCCTGCCCAGGTGGCCACCTCGTGGTGCTGTGGTGACTTTGTAGCCAACTTTATAATAAAGTCCAGTTTGCCTTTTTGGTACCTCTGGTGTCATGCTGTAAAGAGGGAAGGCGGGGGCGTGACCTGAGAAGGTTGGAAGCCCAGATGGGAGTGTGGGCGTCTGGAAGTAAAGCCTGGACCTGCAGACACCCTGGCTGTCTTGATTCTTGATTCACTCATTCGCTCATTCCTTTGTTCATGCAACATCTGAGTGCACAGTGTGCTGTCCACCCTGTGCTGGAAGCTGGAGAGTCTGGAGCTGAAACAGCAGATGCCACAACTTGCCTTCAAAATGCCAGAGGGTATTGGCATCTCCTCCGTGTTCAGGCTTGAAGTGCTCACAGTGTGGGAGCAGTAGAAGGGCCTGGGGATGGGTAGCGGATTCCGCTTGGCATTTTCCTGGGGGTGGGTTGGAAGTCTCAGGACATGAGTTTCTTTCTTCAGCCTGGTCCTGCAGGGAAACAGCTTCCCTTGGTGGCCTGTTGGAGATGATAACCACCTTGCGTGGGCCTTTCAGCTGACACACACTTTTATATCCCTCATTCACTGCAGCGAAGCCTCTGAACAGGCCTATTGGCGCCATTTCACTAATGAAGAAACGGGGTGTCACAGGGAAAAAGTGATTTCCCCCACAGTCGGTGAGAGCCATAAGTGGGCAACACGTCATCTGCATCCGAGCCCTGGGCCGGGTCCTCTGCCCCCAAAGCCCGTGAACCACCATCTCAAATCATCCCGTCCCAGTTACCCGAGAGGGCAGGCTTGAACTGGAGCAGGGAGCCTCTTCCCTCCAGGTCTGCATACTAAAGCTTTCAAAAATACTGTTTTCCTCCGAGCTTGAGGGCCCAACAGCCACAGGGCATGGTAGGGGGAAAATGAAAATTAGGAGACAAAAAGGCCTGGATTTAAATTCACCAACGTTTTGCTGAGTGGAACCTGAGCCTCAGTTTCTTCTCAGGTAAATTGGGGCTGGAGTCCAGCCGGTGTGGCTCAGTGGCTGACTGTCCATTTATGAACCAGGAGGCCCAGGTTGTGGGCTGGATCCCCAGTAGAGGATGTGCAAGAGGCAGCTGATCAATGATTCTATGTCATCATTGATGTTTCTATCTCTCTCTCCCTCGCCCTTCCTCTCTGAAATCAATAAACAAAAATATATGAGAAAAAAGCACTTCACTGGTGATTGGTGGAGGTGGTGGGTGATAGGAGAGAGTGTGCGTTTTGTTGAGAAGGCAGGTGACTTCAGAAAGAGACCCTGGCCACCAAGTTAGTTGGAGAGAAAAAATTAGAAGAGCCAATAGCTCCCCCTGCTGGACAAAGAAGTATCTGCTTCTGTTCTTCTCAGAGCTTTATAGCTTAGACCAGATGAATAGATATACTGAGGCCCAGGGCGAGGAAAGGACTCGCCTAATGGCATTCTCACATCTGACTCTCAGCCAGTTCTCTTCCTACCGATACCAGACTCTGCCCTGGGAGCAGAATGTAGGAGAAAGAGCTCAAGTTTTGGGGTCATGAAGGCTGAGTTCAAGTGCTGGCTCTACAGCCTCATTTCTTCATGTGATAAACAGTATTTACAATACCTACATGTGGCAGTGTTCTGGGTGCTGGCAATGCAACAGTGAACAAGGCACAAGGTCCCTGGGCTCCCGGAGCCTGCATTCTAGCTGTGGGAGACATAACAAAAACTAAGTCAACAGTCTGCAAGAAGTGCACAGTATGTCATTCAGTAAAGGAAAGAACCAGTTCTCTGAAGGCAGGAACTGTGTCTCTCACATTTATTCTGTAGTAGGAGCTCAGTAGTAGGAGCACTGAGCCCAGTACCTGATAATAAGCCACTCAAAAACTGCTTTGCAAATGATGTTCATCCTAAGTTTGTGTATGTGTGATATATATTAAATGTTTATTGATTTTTAGAGAGGAAGGGAGAGGGACAGACAGAAACATCATCAATTGACTGCCTCCTGCATACCTCCACTGGGGATCGAGCCTGCAACCTAGGCATGTGCCCTTACTGGGAATCAAACCGTGACCTCTTGGGTCATGCTCAACCACTCAACCATACCCAGCGGGGCTGTATATATATATTTTAATACAAACAAAATACCCAACAGTTATTTTATTGCTGCTTCTGAGGACTTGCTTTCTCCCCTCCTGGACTTCTCCTACCTTTGCTCATCTGTTTCCTCTGCCAGGAATGTCACCCCACCATCCTCACCACCTCTGCCTTTTGTTCCCTTCTTTAAGCCCTATGGTCCTTTGAGGCCCCGGCTATAACTCAGCCCAGATGAACTGGCTCTTTCTCAGTGACCCACAACACTTTGTGCAATAAAGTCTTTGGGCATGCGTGTCTCCCCCTGAACAGGGACCAGACGTACTTATTTCTGTACTCTCAGCAAAAGTAAAGATTTGAGAAAAGTGAAGCCCATTCTTGTTCCCCGCTTAACCCCACTTCTTCTGGGAAATGACCGGCAGCAAGAGACCAGTAAAGGGTTGAGAGCTGACTCCTCCTCTCTTCTCTGCAAGGACAAGTCCTTGATGTTCTGGGGAATGGGGGAAATCAAAAGGCCAGGGCTTCCTCAGGTCTTCTCCCGCCTCGGGCAGGGACCTCCTGAAGCTTTGCTTCTTCCATGGGTCTGTAGCCAGGAGCCCAATGGTTCACATTCAGCTAACACCTGATCCAGTGCCAGGATTGGCTTCGTAGAGGGACCTGAGGCACTTGTGCAGCAACACTGTTGGGGCTGTGACCTGAAGTCACCACAGGGGTCTGTTTCTGTTGAACTGGCAAGTCCCCAAGAGTTAAGAAATGTTTCTGATTACAGCACAAGCAACAGCTGCTGCTTCTGTACACACGAGCCCCAGCGTTCGCAGCCCCCACCTACCCTGCTTGCTTTGTCATCGGTGGGGAGGAGGGCTACTACTCCGACCTCTGCCACCGATTCAACCTGGACAAGTTGCTCTGCTTGGCTGAGCCTCGGACCATGTATCTGAGAAGCAGCATGAAGAGCCCTACTGTCTGTGTTGTCACCATCAGTACTGGTCCCTTCCCCCTAGGGCCCTAAGACAGAACTCAAGAGAGGGTGACAAAAGATGTTTATTTAGGCTGAATCCCTGATACATCCATACGTGTAAAAATATATAATCTAAGTCAGGGCAATAACAATCAGGTTGGTGTCATCTCCCCTTCTCCCCTTCGGCACAGCCGTTCCAGCTGCTCCCTTCAAAATTCTGGAGTGCGCAGGACAGGGGTCACTTCTTGGCAGCGGCAGCTTCTGCCTGAGCTGCTAAATCGGCCTCTTTCTGAGCCTCCAAGAATATGGCTCGCTCCTTCTGGAAAGCTGCCAGCTCTTCCGAACTGAGGCTGCGGGTACAAAAACACAGATGGTAAGTGAGTGGCCCACGTCACTGTCTCAGAATCCTTTCTCCCCTCCTGGACTTCTCCTACCTTTGCTCATCTGTTTCCTCTGCCAGGAATGTCACCCCACCATCCTCACCACCTCTGCCTTTTGTTCCCTTCTTTAAGCCCTACGGTCCTTTGAGGCCCCAGCTATAACTCAGCCCAGATGAACTGGCTCTTTCTCAGTGACCCACAACACTTTGTGCAATAAAGTCTTTGGGCATGCGTGTCTCCCCCTGAACAGGGACCAGACGTACTTATTTCTGTACTCTCAGCAAAAGTAAAGATTTGAGAAAAGTGAAGCCCATTCTTGTTCCCCGCTTAACCCCACTTCTTCTGGGAAATGACCGGCAGCAAGAGACCAGTAAAGGGTTGAGAGCTGACTCTGCTGTTGTCTGGGCTAGACGCCCTCTCACCTAACATCTCACTTCAAAGACACAATTGCTGAGGTCATCTGAAGCCCAAGGTGGGGGCTCCTGTTGGCCTGGCCTCTCTCACACTATTTCCTATTCTGCCTGTAATGCCGGATTGTATACCAGATTTACTCTCAGCGTAAAGATTTGAGAAAAGTGAAGCCCATTCTTGTTCCCCGCTTAACCCCACTTCTTCTGGGAAATGACCGGCAGCAAGAGACCAGTAAAGGGTTGAGAGCTGACTCTGCTGTTGTCTGGGCTAGACGCCCTCTCACCTAACATCTCACTTCAAAGACACAATTGCTGAGGTCATCTGAAGCCCAAGGTGGGGGCTCCTGTTGGCCTGGCCTCTCTCACACTATTTCCTATTCTGCCTGTAATGCCGGATTGTATACCAGATTACACTGAACTTCTTTGCTGCACTCTTTCACCTTCCATCCTTCACAGGAATCTCCACTTTTTGGAATGCTTGCCCCCAGTCCTTGACTTCCTTTTCCAGGTCTCGTCACCTCTCCTACAAAGTTCCCATTGACACACCCGGCAAATCAGGAGTCCTACACCTTGTTCTCAAGACAGCTGTCGTTCAACACTGCCTGCCTGCAGTCTAATGCTCCAGCTGTGCATCTGCCTCCAGCTCTGGACTGTGAGTTCCTTAAAAGTGGGGCCAAGCATGGCTATCTAGTTCCCTCTAACAGGTAGAAGGTCCTTAACAAGTGCATTCAAATGAATGAATGGGGCTCCCAAGACTCTAAGGTCCTCTGACTCAGAAGCGGACGCTCCCACTAATGCACACGCTCTGTCTTGCCCCAAAGTCAAGAGCTGTCCAGGTCCTCCCCTGGCACTGTGCTTCCCCGAACACTCACTTCTTCACCACACGAATGCCCAGGGAGCGGGCAGAGCCGATGATGGAGCGGACAACAGAGGACAGGGGCATGTCCCGCAGGGCGAAGGCATCGTCCTGAGCTTTGACACAAGCAATCTCATACACGTGCTTCAAGGTCACCAGGCCTGCCACCTCCTTCCCTGGACGGAAGAAACAAATAGCCCTTCGGGTGCACCTCCACTGGGGATCGAGCCTGCAACCTAGGCATGTGCCCTTACTGGGAATCAAACCGTGACCTCTTGGGTCATGCTCAACCACTCAACCATACCCACTGGGAATCAAACCATGACCTCTTGGGTCATGCTCAACCACTCAACCATACCCAGCGGGGCTGTGTATATATATTTTTAATACAAAC